GATCGATACTGTTGAGCTATGGCAGTTATTCGAAGATAGTGGATTGGCATGCTTCTTGCCGACTTCCGAGGGCCTGAAGGGAAACGAACTGTCAGGCGTGCGCGCACGACGGCGTGATCGGAATCAAGTGGTGTGCCCCGAAAGGAACCGCGGTCTTGAATTGTGGATCTCCACCGGTGAGTCATGGCCACATGGTCCAACTGGGTCCACGGTTGATTTGTAGTTGGCGGCCGCCAGGTTACGCGGTGCGAACGTCTACATTGAAAGTTCACACTTGCCAGAAACAGTTCATGATCAGCGCACAACCGAAGAATTCGATCTCCATTGTCTGCGCGGCGAGCATCGACTCCGAATCGACCGCCTAAATGTGATTCCGAGGTGCTCAAACGACCTACTTGAGCAGTCGAATCGCCTGCAAGCATCACAATGTCAGTGCTTTCTTCCTGACGAAAGAGCCGGGATAGCTCTCGATAGAAAGTACCCTTCTCAGCATCAGAACTGCAGTCCGTTTGGGCATAAGCTGACACTACAAACAGGCACCGCTTTTTATACCGAAAGGCGTTGAGCTTGATTGAAACGGGATGATGATACGGCTCAAAGACGACTGTTCACTGGGATCCAAACCAGCAAAGCGCCTTCAGCTCTGGAGCTGTGTGCAACTCCCACGATATATCTTTCACGAGTCATCGCTTCTGGGTCACCGGACAGACGGAGAGAGAAGTATTAAAACCGAGTTCATTCTTGGCATTCTGAGACGCATAACGACTCTTGGGTCTTGTATGCATGTTTCGGAGCCACAGCATACATCAATTTTAAGGGAGGATTAGGTTTCAGCAAGCATTGCCTGCTTGTCAATTTGGCATAGAATACGGACGTTAAAAGCCTTCACGTAGAAAGACTCGTGGATTTAGCAGTGTCATTTTGTTTATTGTTAGTAAGCAGCGAGTTGCATAAGGCCGATCGGTCAGATAACTGAGAGTCGAATGACCCAGTAACGTTTGCTTGTGTGGAAAGGGGTTGGGGAGAGACATTGGGAGACTGAGAGCTGTGCGGGCAAATAATACTTCCCGGTTGCCCAGGCCGAGAAAGGGGGTTTGGTTCAGGTACCCCACCTTGAGACTTCGACTCAAAAGTCTAACCCGCGAGGCAGTGGGCAGTCGGGTTTTCTTTGGGGGACCCTTCCCCGGGCCAATGACTCAATAGTCTGACCTGCTGGGCTGCACTGGGTGGCCTAACCCGAGGGCGTAGGGAGTATGATATTACTGCCTCACCCCTGATGTGGCTGCACACAGCAGGTGCCTTATTGATCAGCACCGGACTCTGGTTGTAAAAGTATTTCGAGTGCGTTGAATAATGCGCCGGCGATCACGGTCAACCGTTGGGCGATCGGAGTGTCCGTTTTTAGAGTTGACCTTTTCCAACCCGTCCTTTTTCGGGGTTAAGCAGTATCGCTTCTTCCATGTATGTGGACACGCTGGTCGTTTGGAGCAAACACCTTACTGCCTTCACACTCCTATCGCAGAGGACAGTACAATTTTATCCCAGACCACCTTGTAGCACGACTATTCGTAATACGAGATCTTTCCTTGGCCTTCCTGGTATGTTTGCACCCTGTGGAGCGATGTTCCGGTGTACCACTCAACTCCTACTACCACGTCTAGGTGGCAGTCTTAGATCGCGGACTGCGATCATAAATTTGTTGCCATCGCATTTCCTTACAATTTTCGGGTCTATGTGGAATGCACACTTAATTCAGCTATTGAGGAGCAGGTGAACCCAGCACTCGAACAGGCGTCTCAGGATCACCTCTTCGAATGCTCGCCAGTTGACTGGATTTTAATGGAACTACTGTAGCGAGATTTTGGCCAGATACAACGCAAATACAATGTGGCTGAAGTTGGTCTGTTACGTGTTGAGTTACTGTCAAGTGATGTTCGCAAAGGCCACTGTTGGCGCCTTACTTAGCTTTGGTTTTCATATGCGTTCATCTTGTT